ACTACTGTAAAATACGCAGTTGCTGCTGTTACCTGCTGCTGTTAAATGTTTCTAATGTGCTGGTTATTGTGCTGGTTGCTTTCATGACAAATGTGGAAATATTGTTGCTGGCTTGTCTTGTATTTTCTGCTGCTTATATTTGATTCCTGTGGTCATTTTATGTTGCTAATTACATGAATGAGTGAAAACAGGGAGCTAACATGATGCTAAGTAGCGTTAGCTAGCCTCGGTCAGGTAGGGCGTGGCAGTGTGGAAAAACTGTCTTTCGCGCCGGACTATTTTCTCATCTAACGCGGTGAGTTCATGGTTTATTTGGGCCAGACGTCATTGTGAGTGGTTTTTGGAACAGTTAGGAGACTAACCGCGGCGGGTTCGATTAGTTTTATATGGGTTTTGTGTAGTTTGAATGTTTTTCACGGATAGCTTAAGCTAGTAGCACATGTTGCATGAGGTACGTAGGTCCTTAATGAAATAGCCGTAGGCCTACGCTGTTTGCGTAGTTAGTGGGCGAGGGAGGGGGGCGTATGCGTCACGGTTGGCAGAGAAGCTTCGAGAAGTTTGAACGTAGCGTTGTGTTCGCTGTTAAACTTTGTCGGAGAATACGCGCTACACCTCCAGACATAAGATGAGCATTGTAGCCGAGCATTAGCCCCAACATGACTCCCAACGACTGTCGGGACGCGGAAGGTTGCCGTTGTTGTTTAATGTATAATAATAGTTGACTTGATAAAGCAAGTAACCTAGCGGAGGGATTGGTTGTATTGTTCATTCGTAACTAACGGTAACCGGTTGGAAATGTTTAACGTGTAGCCCAAGCTATCCCGAAGTACAGTTAATGTACAGTAAATGTCGGTTATCCACAGCGCTGCTTAATTTTGTGGTTTTACTCTGTGAATTGATACCCCAGGCCCCAACACTGTGATTAAACCCCAAGTAGCATTAACTTATAGTTGTGTGTGTGTGTACATGTCTATGGGTAGTGTTGCCTTTTCATGCAAATTATTTCATTGTGTGTTACTGAGAGCATTGGTATTTTGTGTTTCTGCAGCATGTTTGGATTCACGTTGTAAAAATGGCTGTGCATGGAAAGTTGGACCTGCTGGCTTGTTACTAAAACTGATGTGAAATAATAGAGAAAAAGTGTAGTTACATGTTGATCTATGTGATTTTAGTTTTTGGGCTATTAATGCACAGTAACTTTATCTGAGTAAGTTCCAAAGTAACATTAAGTTATATATGTGTGTTTCTGCAGCATGTTTGGATTCACGTTGTAAAAATGGCTGTGCATGGAAAGTGGGACCTGCTGGCTTGTTGCTAAAACTGATGTGAAATAATAGAGACAAAGTGTAGTTACATGTAGATCTATGTGATTTTAGTTTTTGGGCTATTAATGCACAGTAACTTTATCTGAGTAAGTTCCAAAGTAACATTNGGATTTTCAAAATAAAATCCCCAGATAGTTAAGGGATGTTCCCAAGAAGCCTAAAAAAGGCTGGAGTTTCAAAATAAAACCCCCAAATAGTTACAAAATGTTCCCAGGAAGCCTGAAAGATGCTGCATTTTCAAAATAAAAACCCCTGATAGTTACAGCCACCATTGACACTCAACATGCATGTTGTTTGTATTTTGAAGCAAGCAGATCAGAAGATGAGGGGCATTTCTGACTGTATTTTTTGAGTGAATGGAGTTATTTGAATATAATTTTAATAAGCATCATTATAACAATGGAGTTTCCCTCCATGTTGTCTTCCTGTTTCTCCAAAACACTATCTGCTTTATTATTTCGGAAGATCAGACCATGGGCCTCTTGCACAGTATAACTTGCTGCTATAATCTGTCACTGAGATGGCAGCTCACTTACCTTTATAATCTTATGACACCCCCAGCCAGAATGTTTGTGTATTTGGGGTGACTTTAGGAGAATTCAAAAAATTTCAGGATAAAAGATGGCATTTGCAGCATTTATATTGCTGTCAAATGTCAAAAAGGGTCAAATACAACCATGTATAAAACATAAGTTTTAAACATTCAGTTGTATCAAATAACATTATTCTTAACATTATTATTATTATTTCAAATGAATATCAAATGTAGTCGTCAAAATAACTTAATGAGTTAGAGTAAAATAAAGTATTTACTGAAATAAATGACTAGAAAATCGTCCCTCATATCAGTATGTGTTTCAATCACCATAGCAACCAGCTGCTTAGATTTGAAATGGCTAACAGGTGAATCTGATTGGACTTCTTCGATAGGAGAGCTCTGATTGGCTCTTGTCTTTTTGACCTTTCCTTAAAACCTTTGGTTCAACGTTCTCCGACCTCTCTGATCTTCATCTGAGGTAAGTGATGTATCTCACTCTATTGAAGTATGTACCTAGCCAGCATGCTAACTTATAAAATTCGGGCTCATAATTTAAGATTTAAGTTAAACTACTGTAAAATACGCAGTTGCTGCTGTTACCTGCTGCTGTTAAATGTTTCTAATGTGCTGGTTATTGTGCTGGTTGCTTTCATGACAAATGTGGAAATATTGTTGCTGGCTTGTCTTGTATTTTCTGTTGCTTATCTTTGATTCCTGTGGTCATTTTATGTTGCTAATTAAATGAATGAGTGGAAACAAGGAGCTAACGTGATGCTAAGTAGCGTTAGCTTGCCTCGGCAAGGTAGGGCGTGGCAGTGTGGAAAAAGTGTCTTTCGCGCCGGACTATTTTCTCATCTAACTCGGTGAGTTCATGGTTTATTTGGACCAGATGTCATTGTGAGTGGTTTTTGGAACAGTTAGGAGACTAACCGCGGTGGGTTCGATTAGTTTTATTTGGGTTTTGTGTAGTTTGAATGTTTTTCACGGATAGCTTAAGCTAGTAGCACATGTAGCATGAGGTACGTAGCTCCTTTAAGGAATAGCTGTAGGTCTACGCTGTTTGCGTAGTGAGTGGGCGAGGAGGGGGGAGGGCGAGGGCGTATGCGTCACGGTTAGCAGAGAAGCTTCGAGAAGTTTGAACGTAGCGTTGTGTTCGCTGTTAAACTTTGTCGGAGAATAGCGCTACACCTCCAGACACAAGATGCTGAGCATTTTAGCCGAGCATTAGCACCAACATGACTCCCGACGACACTCGGGACGCGGAAGGTTGCGGTTGTAGTTTAATGTATAATAATAGTTGACTTGATAAAGCAAGTAACCTAGCGGGGGATTGGTTATATTGTTCATTCGTAAGCTGACGGTGTCCGGTTGGACATGTTTAACGTGTAGCCCAAGCTATCCCGAAGTACAGTTAAATGTCCGTTATCCAGAGCGCTGCTTAATTTTGTGGTTTTACTAAGTGAATTGATACCCCAGGCACTGAGAGTGTGATTAAACCCCAAGTAGCATTAACTTATAATTCTGTGTGCGTGCATGTACACATGTATGTGCGAATTGTGTACATTTTTGCTTATTATTTCATTGTGTGTTACTGAGAGCATGGGTATTTTGTGTTTCTGCAGCATATTAGGATTCAGGTTGTAAAAATGTGTGCATGGAAAGTGGGACCTGCTGGCTTGTTGCTAAAACTGATTTGAAATATTGAGATGAAGTGTAGTTACATGTTGATCTATGTGATTTTAGTTTGTGGGCTATTAATGCACTGTAACTGTATCTGACTAATTTCCCAAGTAACATTAACGTGTGTGTGTACATTTTTGCTTATTATTTCATTGTGTGTTACTGAGAGCATTTGTGTTTCTGCAGCATATTTGGATTCAGGTTGTAAAAATGTGTGCATGGAAAGTGGGACCTGCTGGCTTGTTGCTAAAACTGATGTGAAATAATTGAGACAAAGTGTAGTTAAATGTTGATCTGTTGAGCTATTAATACACTGTGAGTAACTGAGTTGATAAAGTAGACACAGACAGTATGTGATTAAAGGTCCAGTGTGTAACATTTATGTGAAAGGGGTCTATTGGCAGAAATTAAAATAAGCCCTATATTGATATAGAGAAAATCAACAGTACCCACAATGAGTAGCACTTTGGCGACTGTGAAGAGGGAAAAACTCCCTCATTAACAGGGAGAAACCTCTAGCAGAACTAGGCTCAATGTGGGCGGTCATCTGCCTCGACAGGTTGAAATGAGCAGAGAAAAATAGGGAGGAGAGGGGAGATGGATGGAAATTGTTTATTAAAATAATCCCAGTGATATTTCCACGTGTGTTTCATCGAAATTGTACTAATTGTTTTCTTAATCCTAGAATCGCGACCTTTATATTTGTTTATACTGGGTCCTCTCTACTTAGGCTGCCATGTTTTTAGGTGTCACTAAATTCTACACACTAAACCTTTGAGTGGGGACATTGTTGCCAACACTGTTTTTTACTGAGAACACAAAATTTGTATCCTGACTGCTATTTAAATAGATTTTTTTTTGTTGTCTGTGAATGATTTTAGGATTTCACTACTCAATGGTGTTTGCCTAAAATGTGCAGTACTTGCTGTTACTGTAGGTGTGATGGAGCCTACCACAAATGTATAAGCTAGAAAACTGATATGTGATTATATTATATATTAAGCGACATGGTGTGCAGCAGAACTGTTTTGGAGATGTCTGAGAGCACTCAATGTGTACATATATGTGATTTTACACTGCCATTAAWGGTTTAATTTATTTCACTCACAGATTCACGGCTCTTGAGCAGTGCTTTACCGGTGAGTGTTAGTTGAATACTGTCACTAGCATAAAATACTAATGAAAATGCATATTGTATATTTTTTATGTGTATATGTATTAAATCAATACAAGCAGCAATGCTTTTACAGACATGTTTGACTGCTTGTATTTAATTACATTCGTCATCCAATGGTGATTTGATGATATAGAGCTTAGTTTGAATGCAGACTATTTCTTCAAAGCAAAATATATTTTAAAAGTCCTGCCTACATTTGTTTACATATGATAATTTTTATTTTGGTTACAAGTCTGTTATGCTCACTTTTTTTACAGACACAATTCATTGACCTTCAGCATCCAGCCAGCCCTGCATTGACCTTCGGCGTCCAGCCCTGCATTGACCTTCGGCGTCCAGCCCTGCATTGACCTTCGGCGTCCAGCCCTGCATTGACCTTCGGCATCCAGCCCTTCATTGACCTTCGGCGTCCAGCCCCTCATTGACCTCATCGTGAGTGTGGCGGATCATATCGTTCTTTGTCGTATGTGGTCCTCATTAATATCTGCTCTGGAGTAATTTATTATGTATTGTCTTTCTCAGGTTTTGTGCCCAAGATCTTCAAGACAGGCTCATCGAAATTTTCATAGTGTTGCATATTTTTGTTTAAATTATTTGTATTATTAACGTATTTTGTGAGTTTCTCTGTCTAGGTATCCTTCACAGCTTCACCAGATTTTCACGGTAAGTTAGAGTAGATGAGAATATACACTATACAAATAAAATTGGAAAAGCACACCTGTCGGTCAAGTAACACAAACTCTTAACTTGTACCTCAAATTGTAGGCCAACGTGTGACGACCAAGGCAGGACCACCTGTGACGAGGACGACCAGGGTCCAGTCAAATCTTTTTCTATCTTGGTGAGTATTTTGGATTCATAGATTTMTAACTATCCACCTTACTGTACTGTTTTGCTTCTTTTCCACTTACATTCCTTTTCTGTTCATCCTATGATCATCATCCACTGGCCACAGACGGGACAAACTTGGTTGAAGGTATTGTATTAAGTATTTAAATTGCAATTAAAAAGAAATTTAAAGAAAATAAATTTTGTTACAAGACTTTTTTTTTTTTTGATCCCCAAATTGTATCAGAGATGCCGAGGAAGGGCAAGAGATCACAGGCACAAAAAGTGCGCTGGTCAAAGCTCGACCTGGCAGATCCAGCCACAGTCAGCCCACCCGGTCTTGGCCGAGAGGTACCTAAACAATAAATACATAGCTGAATTTGACAGCATTATCCTAATGTAATGTTAAGATAATGTATTTGTATTAATTGATAAGTTATTTGTATTATCAGGTTCCCAAAGTACAGACCTCTCCACGGCCAAGAAATGTATGGAGGACGGATGGACCCACTGGCTCCCATTCTCCAGCTAAAAAGGTGGGCTTTTATATCTCCCACACTTTCCATACAACATGCAGTCTTGAACTTGGTATTTAGTTATCAGATGACTGAAACCACAGGTCACGCACACACACAGTCTCTGTCACTGTCACATATCTATACAATACACAATGTCTTGAGTTTCACATACTTGGTATAATTTTTTTCCTCAGACGGCATTGCAGAGACGCCTCCACCAGCCAGACATTTCTGGTCAAAGGACAATTCGCACACCCCTGTGAATTCTCCACCTTCAAAGGTATGGATTTGTTTTTGACTCATTGGAGATATGGGCTGAACCCAGATTCTGTTATAATTTTACAGAGTTAAGTAGTCGTAAATACTTGATTTCCAGATACAATTATTTGTTTTATAATTATCAAGTGACTGCTATGTTTGACAAAAAGTCATTAATAAATCAAATTTAATTTCATGTCATCAGATTTCCAAAATACAGACTCCTCCCCAACCAAGACATTTTTGGAGGAGAGATGCACCAACTGGCTCCTGTTCTCCAGCTAAACAGGTAGGCTTTTTATTCTCCACACTGTGGAACATCTATACAATACACTGTGTGTCATGAACTTGGTATTGTGTTATTAGATGGCCAAAGTGGACACACAGATATGACCTGAACCCAGAATCTGTTCAATCTGATTTTGCTGAGTCAACTAGTCATAAATACCTGATTTGCAGAAACAAATATATGTTTTATAATTATCAGGTGATTATTTTGTTTGACATGAAGCCAAACTTCAAATTTAACTTTACATCATCAGCTTCCCAAAGAACAAAACCCTCCACAGTCAAGAAATGTGTGGAAGATGGCTACACCCAGTGGCTCCTGTCCTCCAGCTATGAAGGTAGGGTTTGTTTTTTTCTCCCCACGATTAATAGACACAGGATACACTTCAAACATTGCATGTGTTCAACTTAAAAAAAACCCCCCGCAAAAATCACACTAAAGTTACCCAAACAAATCTCTAAACTATATAATACCTTCAACTGTGCTCTGAGTATGGTTACTTATGAATTGATTGACAGTAGTGTCTTTTTAGAAACATACACATCTGAAACAAAAGGAGGACAACTCTTAAAGTCTCCTCTTAACAGTGCTCTGTCTCAAATTGGCACTTGCAAATGTAGTAGCATAGAGATGGGCCTTTTTTAAATGCGTAGGAGGTCCAGCTAAAGAGTAGAAAGCTTTTATTTTGTGTGCGCGTGTATCAAGACAAAGCCCATAAATTGAATATTAATAATAATCCTTTATACCATACTTTGTTTAGCTTCAGCCCTGGGCAGATGAAGACCCACTGTTTGAGAGTCCAAACAAAGAGAGAGGGACCATGTGGACGGTGAGGGCAACTCATAGTCAGAGTGATGGTCGGTACAACACCTTCTCCAGGAATCATCAGTGCACCTGTATGGCACTGACATTTTTGGCATACCACAACGAGGGATTGCGGTTCAACAGAGACAACCTCGACAAAGTGCTTCAGCAGGGAGATGCTCTCTATGTTGGCATCAAAAACCAGCTCATTTTAGATAAAAGCTTCGTAAGTGACCACCTGACAGTCGAGGAAATGCCGAAGCAAGTTTTAACAGACACTGATATGTACAATGTCCACATGTCTTCGGTGAGATGTGGCTGCGTGAAGGCCCCAGAACACACACCTGTTGGTTGGTTGACTCTTGCCAAACAACTTGAGGCTCTGACAACAGAAGTCAGTCATGCAATACTGTTGGTATCTCCTGAGTGCTATGCAGTTTTCCGTGACAGATCAGGGCGTTATGGACTCTTTGACTCCCACACAAGAAGTGGAAGAGGTCTTCCCCACCCAGAAGGAACTGCAGTTATGCTGAGCTTCAATCATCTCTGTGACTTGATCGACCACCTGCACAAGCTGTTTAAAGACCGTGGTTGTTATGCTGGCTATGAGTTTGTGCCTGTTTCTTTCCAGTCTGTCAATTCCAGTGGCAGTCCTGCACAGGCAGCTGATGTGGAGGTAACAGTAAGTGCTACATCTGTACCTCAACCAGACACAATTGCACAAGACCCAGAATCGCAAACAACTTCCTACATATCAGAAGGAGAAACTGTTAGTGTTAAGATTTCTGATCCAAATGTGGACATGTCAAATGTTTCTTCAGCTCTCCCACAAGCAGAACTAACTGTGGAAGCTGAAAGCCCAGAGAAAAATGAATGCAAAGCATGTCCAAAAGATCTAGGATTGAATCTAGGGGKAGAACAAACAAACAAAGCAGGAAAAAATGTATCAAAACTAAACAGAGAACGTCGGAAAAAAGCAAGGCGTACAAGTAGATCTACTCCCTTTGAACCTACTCACATTAGCAGAAGCAAATGTGAAAGAATCAAATATGCTCGCTGTTCAGAATTTCGCATTAAGAAGCTGCAGGCTATGCGCATTAAATATACCAAAGACCACCATTACCACCAACAAAAGCTGTTATCATCCAAACGTAATTACAGAGATCCTTGTGTTAAAGGCAAGAAGATATCATACATTCTCTGTAGATACAAGACAAATCCTGAATTTCGGTGCAGATGGAAAAATTACATGGCCCAGAAATATAACAGAGATTCTGATGTCAGGGAGACTAAGAAAATGTACATCAAATCAAAATATGCATGTGACCAGGACTATAGGCAAAAACAAAAACAACATATCAAAACCAGGTATCACAATGATCCAGAATTTAGACTGAGTCACTTGCGGCGCTGTACTCTGCAGAAACGACAAAAGTTGGCTAAATATCACATCCATCACAGGTTGCAGTGTGCACTGAGAATAAGCAGAAAGTACAGACGGATTGTAATGCACCAAACTCCACAGCCTGTGATCAATCGTGTGATGCAAGCTGCAATGTCTTCCTTCCGTGAAAAAATCCGTAATGGCCCCACCTATATTTGTACAGTGTGCCACAGGGCACTTTTTGCTAATCAAGTTGTGCGTTGCGACAGGTCCAAATATGTCAAAAACGTTCACTTGGTAGCAAGTTGCTTAACAGGGAAATATGTTCACGTTTGTGACACGGAATGCTCGCCTAATTGTACCGTTCCACAAGAAAGGCAGCAGGAGTGGATTTGCCACACTTGTAACAGCCACCTGAGAAGAGGAAGCATGCCATCCATTGCAGTGGCTAATGAATTAGAGCTG